TGGTGTGGGAGGGGAGGGGTGTATGTTTTGTTTTTCCTGAAAAGATTCTCTGCTATATATAATTTTTGTATGATTTAAATATTTTCTTTTCCCTATAGGTTTATGGTAAATATACCAGCTCTAGAACAAATGAATCAGATTTTACACATCTTGTTTATATTTTTACCCTTTCTGTGGGCACTAGGGATTCTGCCCCCACCCGATGCGCTTTTCTTATGGTCAATGGAACAGGTTTTAGCGTTTGGCCTTGGCGGCTCATCTATGTCAACCCATCTACGGTAATTATTTTAAATACTAAAGTTATATGTAACTTACTCTTAAAGGACATTATTTCTTTTCAAACAAATCCTTTTTTTTTTCTCTGCAGATTATTAATAATGTTCATCATTTCTGCTGGAACAGCTGTAACATCGTATTTCATTCCCAGCACTGTTGGAGTGGTTCTTTTCATGACTGGACTTGGGTTCTTACTGAGTCTTAACCTAAGTGAGATGGGTTTTGTCTTCAAACACAGTGTAATTGGACACAGAGTTGGAATCAAATCTAAGACTTTACCCCTTGGTTCAGAAAAACAGTTTTCTTGGAAGGAATGCCTCTTCTACGTCATTATATTAGTCTTGGCTCTCTTAGAAAGTATTTTGCTGCATCACTTTGCTTGTTGTTCACAGATTTCCAAAACCAGCTCCCAGGCTATTGTTGGCTATGTTTTGATGATATTACTTATAGTACTATGGATACTTAGAGAAATTCAAAGTGTCTATATCTTTGGAATTTTCCGAAACCCTTTCTATCCAAAGGATGTGCAGACTGTGACATTCTTAAAAAAGCAAGCAAGGCTCATGAAGATTGGTGTTGTCAGACGGATTTTGCTAAATCTAGGTAGGAAGGTAAAAATTTACTAACTTTGTGTTATATCTACAAAGTGTACAGAAATATGGAATTCCCATATCTGTGTAATATATACTTCATACAAGTGTTTATTTTATGTTTTGGTTCATTTGTTTGGTGTGGTCTTTTTTTTTTTTTTAATAGCTTAAATGGGCATTTATAAAGCCTCATATTGGCCAAAATAAAATATGGTAGAAGGGGTTACATTGCCTTAATTAAATTTGTCTTTTGTTTGTCTTAGTGTCACCTTTTGCTATGATAGCATTTCTTTCATTGGACAGTTCCTTACAAGGGCTCCACTCTCTACTTGTCTCCATTGGATTCACAAGAGCTTTTAGAATGGTAATCCTAGTATGCACGTAATAGTACTTTCCTATTTCTAAATTTAATCGTGATTTTGTTTACTCTAATAGTTTACATAAGTTATCAAATTCTCCCTAATCAAGTGGATTTTTTGTGTACTGCAGGTATGGCAGAATACAGAAAATGCTTTACTGGAGATAGTCATTGTATCCACAGTGCACTTGTTGACCAGTATAGACACATGGTGGAACAGAAGCCTGAATACAGGAATCAGACTCTTACTAGTGAGTGTATTTTTTAACAGCTTTATTGAGATGTATTTCATATACCATTAAGTCATTCACTTAAAATATGCAGTTCAGCCCAGCCAGCATGGCTCAATGGTTGAGCATCAACCTATGAACCAGGAAATGATGGTTCAATTCTCGGTCAGGGCACATGCCTAGGTTGTGGGCTCAATCCCCAGTGTGAGGTGTGCAGGAGGCAGCCAATCAATGATTCTCTCTTATCATTGATGTTTCTATATCTCTCTCCCTCTCCTTTCCTCTCTGAAATCAATAAAAATATATTTTTAAAAATATGCAGTTTAGTGGTATCCCATATAATAAAAGGCTACCAGTAATATGCAAATTGTCCCCTCAACCAGAAGTTCAACTGGGAGTTCAACCAGGAGTTTCACCAGGGGGCCGGGCTGGCCAACCAACTGCCTGCAGCCCCTCCCCCCAGCTGGCCTGACCCGATTGGCCCCGATCAGGGCGGGCCGGCAGGACCCCACTCGTGCACGAATTCATGCACTGGGCCTCTAGTATATTCAGAATTTTTCATCCATCACCACAATCTAATTTTAGAACATTTTCAACATCCAGAAAGAAACCGCATACACATTGTATTTATCATTCCTAGTCTCCATCACACCCACCTCCTGATCCAGCCCCAGCAACCATTAATCTACTTTCTGTTTCTATGTATTTGCCTATTCTGGACATTTTATATTAATGGAAATATACAATATATAGTCTTTTGCATCTTGCTTCTTTCACTTATGTTTTCAAGGTTCATCCTTATTGTAGCATGTATCAGTATTCTTTTTTGTTGCTTAGTAGTATAGTATTCTGTTTTACTTTTGACTATGAATAATGCTACTATGCACATTTGTGTACACATTTTTTATATGGACATATGGCCAAATATTTTTCCAAAGTGGCTGCACCATTTAACATTCCCACCAAACAGTGCATGAGGATTCTAACTTCTCTACATCCTCACAAACACTTGTTATTATCTGACCTTTTCATTATAGTCATTATAGTGTCAACTGCTATCTTGTGATTTTGATTTGTATCTCTCTGAATGCTAATGATGCATCTTTTCATATGTTTATTGGCCATTTATGCATGTTTTTTGGAGAAATGTCTATTCCAATACTTTGCCCACTTTTATTTGGATTATTTATCTTTTTATTGTTGAGTTGTAAGAGTTCTTTATATATTCTGGATACAAGTTCCTTGACAGATATATGATAAAAGTTTTCTCACATTATGTAGATTGTCTTTCACTTTCTTGATGTCCTTTGAAGCAAAAAAAGTTTTTAATTTTGGTGAAGTTCAGTTTATCTGTTTTTTCTTTTATCACTTGTATTTTTTGTTTTATATCTAATAAACACTGCCCATTCCAAGATCAGAAAGATTTACTATATTTTCTTCTAAGAGTTTTACAGTTTTAACTCTTACATTTGGGTCTGTGATCTCTTTGAGTTAATTTTTATATATGATGTGAGGTAGGGTTTCAAATCTATTCTTTTGTATATGGATGTACAATTGTCTAGCACAATTTATTGGAAAAACTGTTCTTTCTTCAATGATGTTTCTTCTTCCCATCCATAAACATGAGATATATTTACATTTATTTAGGTCTTCTTTAGTTTATTTCAACAGTATTTTATAATTTTCAATATAGTACAAGTATGCTTTTGTTAAATTTATTTCTAAGTATTGTATTCTTTACGATGATATTATAGATGGAATTGTTTCCTTCATTTTTGGCTTATTTACTACTACAATGTAGAATACAATTGATTTTTTAATAATAATCTTATATCCTGAACCCTCCCTAAATTCTTATTCTAATAGATTTTAGATTTCATGAAATGAGAAAGAATAAGAAGTAAAAATTATCTTTAATAAGAAATAAGAAATATAAAAGATTATTTAAGAATAAAAAGTTATTTTTATGCCTCTACAGGTTGGTATCATGCGTGACCGTCTGATTCAATTCATCTCTAAATTGCAATTTGCTGTGGCTGTACTTTTAGCATCATGGACAGAGAAAAATCGTAGACAATCAACCACCACTTTATGTATACTCAACATTGTTTTCTGTCCATTCTTGTTGGTTTTCATAGTTTTTTCCACACTACTCTCTTCTCCCCTACTCCCCCTCTTCACCCTTCCTTTGTTCCTGGTGGGGTTTCCCCGACCTGTTCAGACTTGGCCAGGAGTGGTGGGCACTGCAGCCACTGTATGTGCAGATACAGTGTACTACTACCAAATGATCCCAAGTTTGACCGCTGCACTGCAGTCTGCAATGGTAGCTGGAAGTTTAGGTAAGTAAATGGCTTGTGCTTAAATACTCACTAATGTATTTAAAGTACAAAAACACGAACACACAGAAAAACAGTCTTTTGAGCCAAGTACTTATACAAATTATAATACTTTGATGTACAGGCAGAAAGACTAATATGAAGTAGAAGTAGATGTATATCTCCTGCTTCTTGTTGTTGTTATCTCCTGCTCCTTATTTTGAGGTAAAGTTATAAAATGAAAATACTAAGGGAAAATTTTAGTAAGATGATCTGACAATTTTTTAAAAAACTCTTTTATATGTTTTTATTGATTTTTAGAGAGAAGGGAAGGGAGAGGGATAGAGAGAAACGTCCATGAGAGAGGAACATCATCGATCAGCTGCCTCCTGCACACCCCTTCTGGGGATCAAGCCTGCAACCCAGGCATGTGCCCTGACTGGGAGTCAAACCACAGTCTCTTGGTTCCTGGGTTAACGCTCAACCACTGAGACACACCAGCCAGGCTAAACAACTTTTTCTTGAATAAAGTCAGGTTGTAGCCTCATTATTGAAACATGAAAACACTTTATCTCCCAAAATTTTTATGTATTTATGAGTTCATAGCAAGAAGATGCAGTAGCCTTAAACCCATAAAGAGTGAAAACTACCTTTATTTCACATAGTATCATATTGAAGAGCTTAAGGGAGTTTGCTCATATATTATTAGTTCTTATATAGCAACTTAAGCAGTCTGACAAAGTTACAGGGTAAGATAACAAAGGTTTTGGTCAATGATTGGTTGCCTCCCAAAATGAAGTGCTATGTAAATTAGCAATATTTTTAATGAGAATGAATGAATTTTATGATAATTATAATTTTATGTTACTTTTATAATTTTATTGTAGAACTATGTAATGCCTCTAAAGGTTGGTTTTAGATAAGGTATAAGCTGATGACAACAGTGTATAACCTCCTATCATAGGCACCTGAAACTTGTTTTAGAAATGAGCGATGACTTCCTAGAAAGCTGATGCCAGGCAGAATAGCAATTAAAATTACAATATGAATGTAATGTTTACTTGGGTTGAGCTTTTCTTTACGATGATGTTAGATAATTTAGAAAAAACTTTACCTTTATAGTACAGATTTTTTGTGAATAATCATTTTCCTTTTATAGGAAATATTCTATACTTTTAATACTTTTATCCAGTTCCAATTAATTTTTATTATGCAATGTTATGCCACTTTTAAGTGGCAGTGCTGTGCCACTTTTAAAAATACCTGTAAGATTAAACTCACATCTGAAATGATAAATACCTTAATAATAAAGTAGAAATTATACTTTATTATCAAATCAGTCACACTCAGCCAAGAAGTGTGTTGTAAAGTATTTCCTGGGGAAAAATGAGGTAACATTTCACACGCATCTGATTGGCAAAAATATAAAAAGTCTGACATTACCAAGTATTGGCAACGGGTATGGGGAACAGGAACTCTCAAATCCTGCTGGAAGGAAATGTGTGAATTTGTAAGCTACCTTGAAGAATAAACTTATAGTCTGTAGTAAAAATGTACATTCCCATCACCTAGTGATTCCAATTTGAGTCAGTGATCCAGTGATTCCAATTCTAGAGAAACTTGCACGTTTGTTTGGTTTAAGACCATTCCTACATTTGATTATTTGCTAGGAGGGCTCACGGGATTCAGCACATAGTCATAGTAAGAGGTCAGCCAAAGAACTTGTATGCATATAAGCATAACCAATGGACACAGACAATACGGTGGTGAAGGCCTGGGCTGGGAGCGAGGGTGGGCTGGGAGAGGACAATGGGGGAGAAAGACATATGTAATACTTGCAACAATAAAGAATTTTTTTAAAAAAGAAAAAGATATTTTATGGCTAAAGCATATATAGCGTAATCAGCCAAGGGAAAAGTCACTTTGGATAAGAGACTAGATGCAAACTTGCAGGTGTCCTCCCCAGTGTAGTCACACAGAATGTACTTAATTCCCCAGCAATGCGTTGTGACAACATGTGTGATATGTTGACTATCCGGGAAACTTACTTGAGATTCAATGTGTAGGGTTTTTGCTGGAGCTGGTCATGAGGCACCCTCCCTGCCTAATGCATACCAAAATTCCAGACTCCCAGAAGGAAAGCCAGTGTTTGGTATAAACTGTATTGTTTGTGCTGAAATACAAGTTCCCAAATGCCAGTCAAGGCAAATTTGTAAGCAGGCCTTTCAAGCATATCAGTTAGTTCTGTTTGTTAACTTTCCTGCACAACACCTTGTATAAGCAGACTTGCACAAAGATAATTTCTGCAGCATTATTAAAATTGGAAGCATCCAAAATGTTTATTAAGTGGGAAGTGAATATTCAAATTCAGCGCTATTTATATAATGATTTCTCAGTGTAGTTACAATGAATGATTGAGCTGTTTGCAGTAAATATAGGCAAATCTCAGACATAATGTTGTGAGAAAAACTAAGTTTTAAAAGTATTTGTACAGTGTAGTACGTAGCATTTTATGTAAATTTTAGTACCATAAAACTTTTTTAATTTATTGGTTTTGTAGAGAGAAGGTAAGGGAAAGAGAGAAACATCGATTTGTTGTTTTACTAATCTATGTATTCATTGGTTGATTCTTGTATGTGCCCTGACTGGGGATTGAACCATAAACTTTGGTGTATCTAACCAACTGAGCTACCTGGCCATGGCCCCACAAAACATTTTTATGCATGTCTATAAAATGTCCACAATGTTGTAAATCATTAATGTAAAGATGGCTTTTATATACAGTATTTAATACTTTTCTTGATATATTTAACATGTAGTTAGGATTTTATATAGCAAGTTCTAATATATTGTTTTCTGGAAACTATATCCTTGACTTTTTATTTATTATCACCTGTTGAGAGCTCAATTTAATGCAATGAATAGTTATTTCTATTTTTGATGTAAAGAGAGGGTCAAAGGAGTTGTGAATTAGTTGAAAGTGTGTTATCAATTTTAAAGATTCATGTGGAAAAATAAAACAAGTTTGAGCAATGACTTTTCTTTTTTCAAATTTGTTTTAGGTCTCCTCTTACCTGGTTCTCACTACTTGGGCCGCTTTCAGGATCGTTTAATGTGGATAATGATTCTAGAATGTGGCTATACTTACTGCTGTATTAACATTAAGGTCAGTGTGCATTTGAAACCTCTGTAGTACTATATTTATTTTGCATGTGTAAATGTACACATCAAACACTTAATAGTTCAGTTTGAAAGAGTATCTTTTAGTTACCTGTGAAAACACTTAGGGATTTTTAAAGTATATTTCAATATGTACATATTGATAGGCAGACTAGTGCTAATTGTGTAATAGAGCATAGTAACAAAACATACCTTCCCCCTTTTCGTCCAGTCCTCCTGTTCTTTTTATCCCTGTCTAATTGAGCCTCTCAAAAGTATGACTTTTTAATATTTTTTTCACACCTACATCATATAAGCATTCTCAATTTAATAAAAACTTTTGACCCCAATGCTTCTACCTGCTACACCCTGTGTGTGTTTTTTTCCTTCCTTTTAGAGCAAAATGCCTTTTTTGAGTTGCTTATAAAACCTAATAATGTGATTCCTTTTATTGATCTTTTGTGCTCCATGACACATGTGGTATAAGGACATACCTTTTGGTGGCAGTCTTTTTTTTCTTCCTTTTTTAATATTTTTGGATACAAGCTTGCTTAGTTTTGCCAAAAGAGAGCTGCTTTATGAAATTTACATTATAGTGGAAGGAGACAGACAATAACCAAATCCATAAATCTATTATTATTATTATTATTATTATGTTATTATAGTAAAAAAATGGAATATGAGAATGGTTAAATAAATTATGGCGTATCCACACAATAGAATAATGCTCTCATAAAGTAGGAGGGAAGGATACAAAACTGTTGTGCATATTGTATAATTCCAATTTTATTTTTTTCCCTCCAAAAATTATTTTAAAGGTTTGAATAAGTGTTATTCAACCTTGACTACAGATAGTCTTTTAAAATTACAGTCATATTGAATAAAATTATTTTGGTAATTTCTAGTGGAATTTCTAAAATTTCTTTTGAAATCATGGAATTACTTTTTATTTCTGTATCCAACATCAGATATGTTAAGGACCATTAAGTTGGAGTTAAGGTATATCTCTTGAGGTTAAGAAAATTTTTACATTTTTTAATATTTTTATTTTGAAAAACCAATCCAATTCCTTTTCCTTCTCTTTCAAAGAAAAATAATCCTACCTAATTGCTTTTCTCTATGTAATAAGTGATCATAAACTTGAGTGCTTTTTAATTTCTTCTTTAGGGGTTAGAATTGCAAGAGACATCATGTCATACTGCTGAAGCTCGAAGAGTTGATGAAGTTTTTGAAGGTGCCTTTGTACAAGAAGAATGTGCAAAAATATGTTCAATTAATAGACACTTTGGAAATGTCTTAACACCCTGTACTGTGTTGCCTGTGAAAATCTATTCTGATGCCAGGAATGTCCTCTCTGGCATAATAGATTCTCGTGATAACTTAAGAGAATTTAAAGGTGACCTTGTTAAAGTACTTGTGTGGATACTTGTTCAGTACTGCTCCAGAAGGTCCAGCATGCAGGAAAATGTCCAAAAAACTGAAAATAAAGGGAAAGCATCCCTAGTAATCCTGCCTGGTTTGAATACTTCACCACAAACCAAATCCCCAGAGGACACAGTTAGTTTAAATTCAGAAATTTTAGATGACTGGTCTGATGATGTTTTGGGTGATGAGCCAACTACCAAAAAAGAAAATGAAGAAAAAGATCAATTAAAAGTTTTGCAAAGTATAAATTTGCCTCTTCCAGGATCAGTAGAATCACGAGTGGTTGGTGATCATTCTATAGGCAAATTTACTGAAAATAGTCTTTACAAAGCAGTCATATTGGGATACCCTGCTATTGACAAAGGAGCACAAGAAGATACAGCATATATTCCTCTCATGGAGTTCAGTTGTTCTCATTCTCACCTGTTAAGCGTACCTGAGGAGTGGAGGTCTAACTGTGTGCCAAGTTCCAAAATGAGGGAGATGAGCTTATTGTTTCCAGAAGACTGGTACCAATTTGTCTTAAGGCAGTTGGAATGTTTCCCTTCAGAAGGAAATGTACTGGAAGAAATTGCAAAGGACAGAGTTTTAAAAGACTTTTATGTTCATGCAGTAATGACTTGTTACTTTAGTTTATTTTGTGGAGACAATATGGATCCTAGTCCTGGTCATATATTGAGAGTTTTCAATGGTGTTTTGCCTTGGTCTCTTGCCCTTGATTGGATGACTGAAAAGCCAGAACTGTTCCAGCTAACACTGAAAGCTTTCAGGTAATTCATTTTGATTACATACAAATTGTAACATTGGCAAGAATATGTTGAGTTTTTTAATAACCTAGAAGAAGATACATCTTCATTTCTAATTTTAAAAAATAATCACTTTCCTAAGAATGAAAAAATTGTTTACTATGTATTGTGATTTTATCAGGAATACACTTCAATGTATACTTCCTTATGTTTTCTTTGTGTGGGGAACTTATTTTTCATTTGGATTTCTTCACTTTAACTCCATCATTTCTCTCTTTTGATCTGAAATACCAACTGTATCATTTCAGTTTAATATCTTAAAAATATTGATTGAACAAAATCTATTTCATTTATAAAGTTGGTAAAAATTTCTAAAATTCTTTGTTTCTCCATTTTTTAGGTATACTCTGAAACTAATGATTGATAAAGCAAGTTTAGGTCCAATAGAAGACTTTAAAGAGCTAACTAACTACCTTGAAGAATATGAAAGCAACTGGTACATTGGTTTGGTATCTGATGAAAAGTGGAAGGAAGCAGTTTTACAAGAAAAACCATACTTGTTTTCTCTAGGGTATGATCCTAATATGGTAAGGTTAAAACTTAGTTTTTAAATTTTTTTGTATATTACCTTAAAGAACTGAAATCAATTATAAAGGATTTGAACTAAGTGATAGAGAGATGACATTCTATGTATTAATAACAGCTTTAATGCATCTATAATCGTGACTTTATGGTCAACATAGTCCAATTGTAAAATGACTGATTATTTACTTTTAAAAACTTAATAGGAGCCAATTAAAAATGTTGTGTATTCATGGTGTAATAACTGACTCATAGAATAGTCAAGTAAATGTCATTGCTATAGCATACTTGACTAAAAGGATTGTATTTCTATGCTAAATTCAAGTATAGAAATTATCACTTTGGGTTTGACTCCTAGAAGAAAAATTAATTTATGAGTGGCAAAGTATTTCTTTTGCTGACAGTTATACTTTATTTGAAGAATAACTGACTTGTGAAAATTACGAAAGACTTCAAATAGTGAATAATTTTTTAAAGATTTAGTACTTTTCTCATAGCATTTAAAATGTCACTGAGTGTGGACAAGTATGAAAGATTCAATGTTATGAGTTTATTATGGGTTCCATGTTGGCATTAGAACCTAAGAAGCTCTGCAGATGTGCTCCCCAATGAAAATGATGAAAGTCATTTTTAAAAACAAGCACTTAAAGTCTTGGAAATGGTCCTAAAAGTATACAGCAAATGAAGAAACACTTATTCAAAAAAAATCAACTAAAATGCAGTAGGTACAGTGAGAGTCTGTGGTATTTGAGCCAAGGCTCATTTTCTCCCAGCTCAGTAAGACAGAAACATTCATTCAGTATTTGGCTGGGAACAGAGCTCCTCTCCCTCAGCTGCCAGTTGGAGAACTAACGTTTTCTGAAAGAGGCAGGACTTCCAACATTTCTCATCTTATTCTCAGCTACCTGTTTGAGGCTGGGTTCTAAGCATATGTAGTCAAGATGTGAGACTTCCTTTCTGGATAACCTACCTCATTGGATGGAGACTTTAGCCTGGACATGGTGCTACTGAGAATACTAGGGCCCTCATCACCCTTGTGTACCCATAGGGTAGAGGTTCCACACTGGGAGAGGCAAGAAAAGAAGACCTGAAATTACTGCTGCCCCTCTACCAAATACTTATCTCCTGCAGCAGAGGTGTTACTCAGAGCACATCATTGTCTCACCTTCAGATTCAGAGCTCTGGCTCAGAGATTTTCTTCCAGTGAGAGAAGCAAATGATTAACAAAACAATAACAACAACAAAAGGAACCAGCATTATTTGCGAAACAGTGTAGTCACGTTGAAGCCTATGATTCTCTCAAAAACTATGGAGACTGTAGTGAAAAATAATTAAGAGATAGTTGGTAAGTTCATTAAAAACATAAGCTAAACTGTAGGCTGGGTGGATTAACAGGGAGAATCTGGAAAGAAACAGCAGAGAAGAGACCTCCTGGGATCAGAACAAATTTCAAACATTCATCTCCAGTTATTTTTTCAAAGGAGCCCAAATTTAATCGGATCAGTCTCTGAAGCAACATATGCCCCAAGTTATTGTTGAAAATGTAGAGCAATCAGTGGTGTTTAACAGCTGGGTGTGACCACTTAACACAGAGAGCTCTGCCAAAACTACTGCTGTCCCATGGGAACTGGGCATTCACAAGGCTGCACTACCCAAAGAGCAACATCAAAGATTTCACAGGCATGGAGGTAGGGATTAACTTCACTAAAGTTTGTATATTACCTTAAAGAACTGAAATCAATTATAAATTTGAACTAAGTGATAGAGAGATGACAAGGCTGCACTACCCAAGGAGCAACATCAAAGATTTCACAGTAGGCATGGAGGTAGGGATTAACTTCACTAAAATTATCCAAAACCTCACTAAACTAATAAGCAAATAATAATAGCAAGCCATGCAGTAGGGGGAGGAGAGTATTAGTACCCAGAATTGCTACAGTGTTATCTGAAATGTCCAGTTTTCAACAAAAATTATGAGGCATGAAAAGAAACAGGAAAGTCTGATCCATATACCAGGTTAAAAAAAAAAAAAAAGACAACAGAAATTGCCTATGAGATCAACCAGATATCAGATTAACAAAGATTTCAAAGTAGACATAAATATGTTCAAAGGACTAAAGAAAACCATGTGTTAAAAAAGTCAACAAAGTGGGCAACAAAATGGGTATAGAAGGAACATACCTCAGTGTAGTTAAGGCTTTATATCACAAGCCCATAGCTAACACCATACTCAATAGTGAAAAGCTGATCTAAGATTAGTAACAAGACAAGGATCCCTGTTCTTGCCACTTACTCAACACGGTATTGGACGTCTTAGAGCAATTAAGTAAGAAAAAGAAAAGTCATTAAAATCAGAAAAGAAGTAAAACTGGTACTAACTGTAGATGATATATTGTAAGCAGAAAACCCTAAGGACTCCACCAAAGTAATTCATTAAAGTTGCAGTATACAAAATCTACACTAATAAAAGACAAAGATGCTAATTGACCATACATTCACTATGCCCGCCAGCCAATCAGAGTGACTATATGATTAACCCAACCAAGATGGCGGTTAATTTGCATATACCAGCTGGGAGCGGAGACTGAAGACAATGTAGAAGGAAGCCAAGCGCTGCAGAAGGGAGCAAAGTAGAGGCGACGGAGACAGGAACAGAGCCAAGGCAGCGGAGACGGCCGCCTGGAGGCGGCAGGAGGCGGGAGCCAAGCCCTATTGCAGGAATCTTCCTGCAATGGGCCTCTAGTTAATATATAAAAATTGCTGCATTTCTATACACTAGTGAACTTTCATAAAGAGAAATTAAGAAAACATCTCATTTACAGTTGCATCACAAAGAATAAATACCTAAGAATAAATTTAACCAAGGAGGTGAAAGACTTGTACACTGAAAATTCTTAAGACATTGATGAAATAATTTGAAGAAGACACAAATAAATGGAAAGATAGTCCATGCTCATGGATTTGTCATCAGGGAAATGCAAATAACCACAGTGAACATCACTTCATACATACTAGGATGACTAAAATGAAAAAAATAGATAAGTGTTGTCAAAGATGTGGAAAAATTGGAACTCTAATACAGTGCTGGTGGAAATGTAAAATGGGGCAACCACTTTGAGAAACCTGACAGCTTTCAAATGATTAAACATAGAATTACCATCTGACCTAGTTTTTCACTGTTAGGTATATCCCCAAGAGAAATGAAAACATAGATACAAATAACTTGTACAAGAATGTTGACAGCAGTGTTATTCATAATTGCCAAAAGGTGGAAATAACCCAGCTGTTCATCACTTATGAATACACAAATTGTGGTATATCCATGCAATGGAATATTATTTGATCATAAAAAAGGAATGAAATACTGTAATATGCTCAACATGAATGAATCTTGAAAACATGTTAAGTTAAAGACTTCAGTCACAAAGACCACATATTATATGACTCCATTCATTTGAAATTTCCAGAATAGGCAAATTTATGGAGTTAGAAAGTACTGTAATGGTTCTTAGGACTGGGGGAATGAAGGGATGGGAAGGTAATAGCCAGAGTATACGGTTTCTTTTTGAGGTCGTGAAAATGGTCTAAAATTGACTGATGATAGTTTTATATATCTGAATATACTAAATAAACGGTTGAATTGTACACTTTATATAAGTAAATTGTATGGAGTGTGAATTATATCTTAGTGGAGCTTTTTTTTAAAAAAAGGGCCTATTGTGTGATTTCCACTGATTAGTATTTATGACTTATGCATTGGTGAGGCCAGATCTGATGAAGGAATAGAGAAGGAAATAGAAGTAGTGAGATTTTGATGTTCTGTTCATGGAGTGAAATGGCTGTCAGGGAATCTTTTCTCGCATACTTATCCATAGAATTACCTAATAGAGGTGACTGAATTCTGAAGACAAGCAACTCGTGTGTACATTTTAATACACCACTTTCTATGTTTGCCTCGAACGATAGGATTTTTTTCTAGGCTTATAAGTAAAATATAAAGGCCTGAATATAATCTCTTTTTTTTCTCCCCCCACCCCATTTGTACTTTAAAGGGAGTTTACACTGGGAGAGTACTTACCCTTCAAGAATTATTGATCCAAGTTGGGAAGTTAAATGCTGAAGCTGTTAGAGGTCAGTGGGCCAATCTTTCTTGGGAATTGCTTTATGCCACAAATGATGACGAGGAACGTTATAGTATACAAGCTCATCCACTATTTTTAAGAAACCTCACAGTACAAGCGGCTGACCCTCCCCTGGGATATCCAATTTATTCTTCAAAACCTCTCCATATACATTTGTATTAGAGCTTATTTTGACTTGTATTGTCATCAAATGGGATGTCTTTATTTTTTCATTCTAGAAGAGTAACTGGGTGATTTTGCAAACTTCACCGACCTTCCCTCTCTCTTCCCAAAAGTCAGATGCCTGGGAAAAGCTAAGCTCTATAAGTTGATTCTCTTAGGTATCTTAAGGGGGGGTGGGAAGGACTTTGTCTATCATAAAAGTTAGAACTATTGGCCAATATTTGTGCCCTATGGATTGTGGTAGGCTTTGTTAAATATGAAGCATTTGTATATAATTAGAAAATGACTTTTTAATGCTTTCTTAAATGTGTGATAGGTGACGTGACTTACAAAAGTCAACAACTATGTAATTTTTACATACTTAAAAAGATATTCCTATCAGTGTTTTTAAGTAATGATAACGGTGCTATTAAAAGTTACATAATGTATATATATTTATTTATTTGAAATGCAATTAAATTTTATAGTATTTTCAAACTTTGTGCTGTTTTATTTTAATATTTAACATGGTCTGAGTGACTAAATGTTTTCATATAATTATTTTCTTTTCATATACTTCAATTCAGAAACCTTAAAAATTTTTAATAAAATCTCTTCCAATAAAATATTTTTCTTCCAAGTATCCTTTTTATGCATGTGAAAGGAAAGGAACTTATCCCACTTATCATTTAATGCTCACAGGATTAGCAATATTAGGATAATCCATGATTGCTAGAGGCCATTCTATAGATCTAGATCAGTGGTTCTCAACCTTCCTAATGCCGAAACCCTTTAATACAGTTCCTCATGTTGTGGTGACCCCCAATTTCATTGTTACAAATTGAACATAATTAAAGCATAGTGATTAATCACAAAAACAATATGTAATTATATATGTGTTTTCCGATGGTCTTAGGCGAGCCCTGTGAAAGGGTCGTTCGACCCCCAAAGGGGTCGAAACCCACAGGTTGAGAACCGCTGATCTAGATCCTTATGCATTTCTTTTCAACTGAATATACTGTTTCTGAGGCATGACTTACCCAATAAAACTACCAGTTACTAGTGTTTTAGGGTGTCTGAGCTAAAGGCAAAAAGAGATGGGAGAAAAATTTTCATAATGTGAGCAGGAATTTATTTTCATTTTCTAGCTGTTTACAAACTTTTTACAGGTACATATAATGAGGAGGAACAATGAATCTGCATCACTTGAGACATTAATTTCCTGTACTCATTACTTTGTTTCCAACTAAATCTATTGTAGCCTCCTCAGTTCATAATAGAGTAGCACATTCTTTTTAGAAATGATTGGAATTATTTGAAATGTAGTGATTAGATTTTTTTATTATTATTCCATTTATTTAGTATGTGGAACAATTCAATCCAGCAATGTTAAAGGATAACTTTTTGCACTAATTTTTACTTAATGAATTCATGCAGTTTGTATGTTAGTCAATTTTGGGGAAACAGCATGGTTGTTAAGAAAACAGGGCTTGATGTTACATCTGAGTTCAGAGGTCAGTCTTATGATTTACATAATTGAGATTTACTAGCTGGACAATTTTATGTATTTTTTGTCACCTATGAAAATTCTCTCAAAAATACTCTCTGCCCTGGCCAGTGTGGCTTAGTTGGTTGGAGGGTCATCCCATACACCAAAGAAGGTGGTAGGTTTGATTTTTGGTCAGGGTGCATACCCAGGTTGTAGGTTTGATCCCTGGCAACCAGTCAATGTTTCCCACATTGATGTTCTCTCTCTTGTTTTCTCTCTCCCTTCCTCTCTCTGAAATCTAAAAAACACTCTCTGTGACTATCTGTTTTAATGACTGTTTAACATTGATAGATTTAGCAATCGCGTAAGTAATGGACATTTTAAGTTGTTTAAAGATTTTCACTATTATCATAATGACAAGCCATGCTTTTCCTTCACGTCGCATCCTCCTCAAACTGCTCCCATGCCTCTCTCTTTCGTTCATGGCAAAGTTTCCTCATCTTCCACTTGTCAAACCATTCCAGTCTGGATTCCATTTCTACTATTTCCCCAAAGAAAGTTTTAATTAAGGTCCCTATTTAGTTTCAAATTGTCAAATCAACTAGTCACCTTTTGTTCTCGTCTTATTTGTCCTTCAAGTAGCTTTTGATACATTTGAGTACTCCTTGAATCACCTTTATTTTTTCTTTTGGGCCTCCCTGATACCACATTATCTTCATTTTCTTCCTATCTCCGTGGCTACTCCTCAGTCTCCTTTGCTGCTTTTCCTTTTCTACCTGACCTCTAAATTTTGGAACTTTTCACCAATTGGTTACAGGCCCCCTCTTCTGGTTCTATACTCACCATAAACCATCTAATCCACTCCCAAGATTTAAAATATCAATAAATTGAGGATGTTTAAATATACAAAGTGAGGCAAAAGTAGGTTTACAGTTTTGAGTACATGAAAGAGTTAATTCTTGTTATTAATTAATTGTATTGAGGCCCGGTGCACAAATCCATATACCAGTGGGGTCCTTTGGCCTGGCCTGTGGGACCGGGCCAAAACCAGCTTTTAGACATCCCCCAAGGGGTCCCAGATTGCAAGAGGGCTCAGGCCAGGCCAAGGGACCCCACCAGTGCACTATGCGGGGGCGGGGGAGGTTGGCCAGCCAGGGAGGGACCGCGGAGGGCTCCAGGGCATGTCCGGCCTGTCTCACTCAGTCCTGATCTGCTGGACCCCAGCAGCAAGCTAACCTACCCGTCAGAGCATCTGCCCCCTGGTGGTCAGTGCACATCATAGTGACTGGTCGACCAGTCAACTGACTTTCCCCTGGTGGTCAGTGCACATTATAGCGAGTGGTTGAGTAGCCTTAGCATATCATTAGCATATTATGCTTTGATTGGTTGAACGGCCGACTGGCTGACTGGACACTTAGCATATTAGACTTTTATTATATAGGACTAGAGGCCCGGTGCACAAAAATTTGTGCACTGGGGGGGGGGGA